AAATACTTACACAGTCATTGGGCCAGAGAGACTGGGAATGACTCTGGGGCCAGAGGTTCAGGCTCCCACTTGGGAGATGGGAGACCCCAGATCCAGTCCCCTTGCTCCAACCACTCTTGCATTATTTAATCCAAAGAGTAACAGCTTCAGTAGGTGACTGAGAATATCTCATAGCTCTGTGGTTGGAGCACTCTCCTGAGAAATACTTACACAGTCATTGGGCCAGAGAGACTGGGAATGACTCTGGGGCCAGAGGTTCAGGCTCCCACTTGGGAGATGGGAGACCCCAGATCCAGTCCCCTTGCTCCAACCACTCTTGCATTATTTAATCCAAAGAGTAACAGCTTCAGTAGGTGACTGAGAATATCTCATAGCTCTGTGGTTGGAGCACTCTCCTGAGAGGTAGGAGACGCCTGTGCTTCTCCCACTGCTTTTTGGGAGCAGGGGGGAATTGAACCTGGGCCTCCCACAATGCAGGCAAGTGCTCCAGTCCTTGGGGCTAAAAGTCATAAGGTGGGCAATACTGCCCCTCCTCCTGCAGGGCTCTGAATGGGACCTAACCTAACAGGCAGCCTCTAAAGAGATCTACCAGATTGGGTCCTGTGTGCAACTTAAGCAGGGGCATGCCTGTCTCTCTGGTTTGTGAATCGCTCTGGGGCTTAGCTGGGAGATGAGTGGCTGGATACCTAGATGGAGGCAGCAGTGAGCCTGACCAGTGATGGTACGTAGAGAAATGGGACTCTGAAGAATGGAGATGCTGATAGAGTTTAGGCACCTACAGGATTCAGCTGGAGGTGGACTGTGGACTGGCTACAGAGCTGGGATGTAAGTAGCCAAACCTGAAACTCTGGTGTTGAGGCACTTAATCCCACCCTATCTCAATAGGAAACGTTTAAGTCATGTAGTCAAAGATAGTCCTAGTTTGGCACCAGAGGAGATGCAAACATAACCACTTTCAAAGGCTTGTTTACAATAAATAGAGACACCCAGCCCACAAGGCGCTTTGACCTATACGTGCCCTTCAGAGTCCTGCCTGGACCTGGACAAATTACAGAGATACACTTTACCCACAGCGTATTAGCTGATGTTTTGATTAAGGCATGGAACAGCTCCCGTGTGAAGAGAGATTAAAAAGACTGGGACTGTTCATCTTGGAATGAGACAACGAAGGGGTCTCTTAGGTTACGTCTAGATTACATGCCTCTGCTGACAGAGGCGTGTAAAATAGGCTACCCGACATAGTCAATAAAGCGGGGATTTAAATATCCCTGGCTTCATTCAAATAAAAATGGCCGCCAAGCTGTGCTGGCTCAGCTGATTGTCGGCACAGCACGCGAGTCAAGATGCAGATCAGTCGACAAGGGAAGCCTTTGTCGACAGATCCCTTATGCCTCGTGCCCCTAAACTCCAGCCCCTTTCCCTAGGCTGTCTCCTCCATGCTCCCAGACAGCAACTAACCAACACTCTTCCAGCCCTGCCCCCCCAGCCAGGGCCGCATTCCACCTTCCTTTGTTCCTCTCCATGGGGGGTGTCTGGCCATACTGGTTGAGAGATCCCTTTGCATAGTGACTCATCCTGTTTTGCTGGGTCGTGGTACCCACGGCAGCCAGTGGGGGTTACCCCAGAGCCAGCAGCATAGAAACCAGCTAGGTACCCCCACTACGTCACACCTCGTGAAATGAGGTTTACAGGAGCGGTCGACAAAGGCTTCCCTTGTTGATTGATCTGTGTCTTGACTGCCGTGCTGTGCCGACGATCAGCTGATCCGGCACAGCCCGGTGGCCATTTTTATTTTAATGAAGCTGGGGATATTTAAATTCCCACTTCATTGACTATGTCGGGTAGCCTATTTTACATGCCTCTGTTGGCAGAGGCATGCAATCTAGATGTACCCTTATAGACTAGAGATCTACGGAATCATGACTGGTTTGGAAAGGTTGAGAGTGTTATTTACCCCTTAACAAGAAACTAGAGGCCACCCAACGACATTAGCAGGCAACAGGTTTCAAACAAACATAAGGACGTACATCATCACACAACACACTGTCAACCTGTGGAACTCATTGCCAGGGGATATTGTGAAGGCCAAAAGTATAACTGGATTTAAAAAAAAGAATTAGATACATCATGTAGTAAAAGTCCATTGATGGCTTTTAGCCAACGTGGTCAGGGACGCAACCCCATACTTTGAGTATCCCTAATCTTCTGACTGCCAGAAGCTGGGACTGGATGACAAGAGATGAATCAAATGGATGAATTTCCCCATTTTGTTCATTCCCTCTGAAGCATCAGGCACTGCCCAGTACCAGAAGACAGTAGACTTGACTTGATGGGCCATTGGTCCAGTCCAGCATGGTTGTTTTTAGGATGCTTCTGGTTTTGAAAGGCATTCAGAAATATCTTGGCCAACATTTTCAGAAGTGACTAAAAATTTGGAGTCTCTGTTTTTGGATGACACCACTTTCTGGATCCTGACTTTCAGGAGATGGATCCTCAGCCCTCTCTGAAAACCAGGCCCCTTTGCAGCAGCTTAAATCAGTCACCCTGTATGGAGACATCCAAAACCCTTGGTTATTTTTGAAACTTGAGGCAAGTTTTTCAGTATTTTTGGGGCAGATATCATGAGTATGGAGAAAAGCTGGTCTACACAAATCATGTGTGGAATGTTCTCCTTCAGTGGGAGATAGCTTACTGGGATGGGCCCCGGGGAATGGGACCCCTTCAATCTCATT